TTTCCTCACCCCCTTCTTTCTCTCTCACGCCCCCTTTCTCCTCTTTCTCACCCCCACCTTTCTCTCCCCTCCCCCTACCTTTGCTGTAGCGTGGCCGAGCCCAGTATAGTCCGCGGGTACAGAGAGCAGCTGTCTCCTGTACCTGGCCGGACTAACAGGAAGTGAACACTCAGTGTGCACTTCCTGTTAGTCCGGCCGGGTACAGGAGACAGCTGCTCTCTGTACCCGCGGACTATCAATGCTGCAGGGCTCGGCCACGCTACAGCAAAGGAAGCTGACAGGAGGGAGCGCTGAGCGCTCCGTCCTGTCAGCCCCCTTTCTCAGGCTGAGCCCGGGCAGTGCGGTCCGCCCTCATGGACGCACCGCCCGGGCAAAGCTGCAGCCGCCTGAGGCTCTATACAGAGCGCTCGGGCGGCTGCAGCATGGGGGGGGCGGCGGGGCTGGCCATGGCACCCCCCACCCGGCTGCCACCCGGGGCGGACCGCCCCCCCCGCCCCCCCTTAGTACGCCACTGATCTAGTGTCAAAGGCAACATAATCCATCTGGCACATTTCAATGTGTAAAAACTGAAATTGAAAAGCCCTATATTTGACCATGTAGCTTTCCAGAACATCATGAAACCTGTACATGTGGGGCATTGTTGTATTCGGGAGAAATCACAGCATACAAATATGTGTATTTTGGGCAGTAAAAGCTGACAGTATTATGAAATTCACAGTTACAATGTCATGCAGAAGTTGGAAAAACACATTTCTTAATTTCTCACAGGTTTTAAGATTTTAATTATATAAAATTTTGCTCCATATATTCATATTTGGTGTGAGATGAATGCCCTGTTTGTCCTGAACAAAATGCTAAATAATAAGTGTGGGTGTACTTAATATAAAAGAGTTGAATTATGGTTGAACAAATATATAGCTCAAATTCTAAGTTTTGTTCTAAGTTCTAAGTTTTTTTTAAATTTAATTACCTTTGTCCTTATGGTGTAAAAAAAGGAGAAGTCACGTTGGTTAAATAAGCCTATATCCCAACAAACAGCCTGACCAACGATAGTAAACCCTTTTTACCTATAGAAAACTGTACGGTTTACTACAAAGCCTCCTCTCCCTTTCACCCCCTGATTTCTATGCAGATAAGGAGGGATTATTCTATTAGGTTAAAGACCAATATGTGTGTTCTTATCATTATAATATTCTGCAACATTACATACAAATATTATTTTCCTTGCAAGCAGTATTCATAAACACCAAACTGTATTCCAAATCGAAAAATATAGGCTAAAATAGGTAATTTAGGAGAATTCTCCATCTCGGCTAAAGCCACAGCTTTTTTAACCTAAATCTTAGATATTTTGAGTTTAGTATGGAGGGCCTGAATGTATCTGCAGAGAGCCACACATGATAAGCAAGCAGTGGCAGAAGCAGTGATACTAGGTAGTTATTATGTATGCAACAGTAGTGGTAATTAATGACTTCATCATTATAGAGTAAGCCCGATCAGGCAGAAAAAGCCATTCAGCAAAACACAGGTACTCTATTGTTTACATAGCCTTTATGGCTCTCCCTCAGTTTACCTTGCCAATAGTCAAAGTCCAAATTATAGTAACAGAAGAAACTGAAAATAGTTGCTTAGTCAGTTTCACGTCTCATTTTGAGAAAGAAAGACCTTTTAAAATTTCCTCAAATTACACAAGCAAATATTTGAACCTTCCTAGTTTTGTTTTTACTGTGGCGATAATTATGCTGAGTGTCAACTCAATTTCCACAAAATCTGTTCTTACAGACTTGTTTTTAGTATATTGTTAGTTGTTTTTTCAGTGTAGGTTGATCGATCAATAGATCATAACATGAGAGAGTAAGAGAAGATACGGAATGGTGGGCATCCATTATGTGAAAATCTAGGGATTCTCAAAGGTTCATAGAGACATCATAATACACCAAAGGCCAGGTGGTTTATAAAAGTCTCAGGAACTCCCAGAATGGGTTATTGTCAGAACTAGAAATACTTAAATTTTAGGACAGCACAAGGAAATATGTGATTGGAGAAATATCACCCCTTTGCAGCAGCTATTACCCTTAATTCAACCTCTCTCATGGAGTGACATGCTGTCCACTACCAGTTTTAGTAGAAGAGAAATAGAAATATAGCCATTTCATTTTATTGAATTGGTTGTATTGCCTGGAGACCAGAAGCATAACTAGAAATCACTGAGACCCGATGTGAAAATCGCCCTGGGCCCCCCATCCCATGTGTCTAATCCCCCCCAGCCCCTCCACGCATTTCATTTCCTCTCCCAATAATCTCTCCATGTGTCTCATTCCTCCTTAGCTCCTCCATGCCTCTCATTCCCCCCACAGCCCCTCCATGCTTCCTATTCCTTCCTAGTCCCTCCATGTGTCCCATTCCTTCCTAGCTTCTCTATGCGTGTCATTTCCCCCACCCAGCCCCTCCATGCATGTCATCCCCAACCCTCCAAGGCCCTCCATGTGTGTCATCCCCAACGCCCGCAGCCCCTCCATGTGTGTCATCCCCAAACCCATCCATGTGTGACATCGTCAACCTCCCCCAGCCCCTCCATGGGTGACACCCACAACCCCACCCAGCCCTTGCAGTGACTGCCCATTGCTGCTCAGGCTAATGCTTCCTCATTAGTCCAAGCAGCACAAATGGGTTGGACTTATTGGGAAATAGTTTAACACTGAATGGAAGGATGACACCAGAGGACTCCAGGCACTATTACCACTTCAATGAGATAACATACTTACAGCACATGCAGTCTCAGTTTAATATTGTCCGCTATTAAGAGTAGCAAGCTGCCCAGGAGTAACACGTTAAAATAACAGGCAGCAGGGCCGGTGCTTCAATAAGGCGGCACATGCAGCTGCCTTAGGGTGCCAGAGCAGAGGGTCGCAAAAATCCGAATCCCCTGCCTGCAGCCAGCACACAGGAGCCAGTGAAGTCAGCCACCTGCTTCTGATGTCAGGAGGAGGGCGCACTACCACTGCTCCCAGACTCCCCAGCGGTCCTGACTCTGCAGGCTCCAACCCCTGTCCCACGCGACCACCAGTGACAAGGTTTTCCCCACTCCCTGGCCCAAAGTAAATCTCAAGGAGGCGGTAATTCAGGTTAGGGTTTTATTTTTTATTTTTTTTAATTAAAAACTGTTTTGCTTAGCTTTTTTGTTTTTTTTCATTTAAAAGTTTATTGAGTTTTCAAAATTTAAAGGAAGGAGTACAGAAGACAAAAAGGGGGAAGGGATTGTGAGCATCAAAAAAGCTCACGTATCAGTGTAAATAGTACAATCAAAGATGAACATGGTTACAGCACATTGAGCGACATTGTTGACCGACAGTTCAGGAATCATTCTTAACAAAAAATTAAGGCAAATTAAAGACATATTGCGTAAAACCATTGTGCGGAAAGGGGGAGGGGGGTTCACACTCTGTTAATGGGTGTGTTGGATATCTAGGTCTGGCAGCAATGTGAGCAGGGTTGGTGATGTTACTGATTTCCATGCCTTTGATATTGACCTCTGTGCGGTTAGGGCAATATGGAGGATCAGTTTTAAGCTATGATTAGGTAGAGAGATAGGTAAGTCCAGCAAAAGGTATGTGCGCGGCGAGAACGGCAGCAGACAGCCTGTTATGCGTTGGGCCAGATCATGAATTGCAGAGGTAGGACATTATCTCTTGTGTGGAAGGTATGTGGATTGCAGGTTCAGCTCGTAAATTATATAGTTTGGCATAATAGGAGGCATATTCCTGGCTAATGTCGTAGGGGTTAGAATGCTTACCGCGTTCTTGGCCAAGGATTTATTGGCTTTTCCACCAGTGTGGTACACAGTGGTTCGCAATCTGTGCATAAAATAGTTGGTTTTAGCTGTGTTTAGCTATCTCTACAGCCCCACAGGGACACACAAAATGGGCTGAGGGAGAGAGCCACAGAAAGGGGCTAGGGAAAAGAAAGAGAGACACAAAGGGGCTGGGGGATAGAAAGAGACAGACGAAGGGACTGGGGGAAGTAAGAGATACACAAGGGGGGTTGTATGATACACACAAGGGTTGTAAGACACACTAAAGAGAGAAGAAATTTGAAAGGGGTGTTCCGAGACACACAGGTGAAGAGGCATTATTTTGGGGGTTGCAAAATGCATGTTTGCATGTGTAGGATTTATTTATTCAATAATATGCCTGCATAGTCACCAACAGCGTAGTATGGATTTAAACCATGATCTACCAGTTAAAATAATGTATTTGTAGATATTTATACACACCAAGAGGATTTGAACAATAAGGAACTATGACATTTGTTTAAAATCTATTGAGTGTTCCAGTTCCATTAGATTATACGGGCCTTACATATATTTATATTGATTTATGAAATGACAATCATACATATTATTTAACCTATATTCATATATAAAACATATAATGTCTTATTTCATCTTTCATTATTATGTTTCCTCCTCCAGACTGCAAGTTACAATGAGTGTTATCTCTTTTTCCATGTTTCTTATTTACCTTTTATGTGAAAAGGAGGGCTGGTAAGTGGGGCTTTTAGTAAATCACCAGCAATCATATTTTTTCACACAAAAACAAATATGAACGCTAACTTTGGCCAGTGTTTGAGACTAAGTGGCTACTAAAAAAGACTGGACATACCCCACTTGCACTACCTTGGGTTGTCTATTTTTGCAAATGGTATGCCATCATGGGGGTAATTCTCATTCCCGGGCTACCACACGGTCTCAAAGGTAACATTACTAATCTGGCAAATTTCAATTTGAAAAAAACTGAAAAATGGAATGTGCTATATTTGACCCTGTAACTTTCCATAACAGTTTTTCCGTAAAAACTGTTAATGGGGGCTACTGTTGTACTCATTAGACTTTGCTGAATCCAAATATGTGTTTTTTTGCAGTTAAAGCTAACAGTATTATGACATTTACAGCTAAAATGTCTACAATTTTTTTTTAAATCTTAATTGCTCACAGTTTTTTTACATTTATTCTTAATAAATTATGTTTCAATTATGAATAGTTCATGAGAAATTAAAGCCCTGTTTCTCCTGAACAAAATGATATATAATAAGTGTGAGTGCACTTAATATGAAAGAGGTGAATTACGGTTGAACAGACATATAGCGCATATTCCAGTTTTTGTTTACATTTTGTTTTGAGCAGAACGTGCACTATTGACTCCGTCCTGAAGGGGTTAAACATCTGTGCAGACTCTGATAAAATCACCTCTTCAGGCAGAGAATTTCACATCCTTATTGTTCTTACTGTAAAAGCCTTAGACTAAATCTCCTTTCTTCCAGTCTAAATGCATGGGTTGTCTACTTTTGAAAATGGTATACCATGATTTGGTTAATTTTAATTCCTGGGCTGCTATATGGTCTCAAAGGCAACATAACCAATCTGGCATATTTCAAAGTGTAAAAATAGAAAAGGGGAAAACCCTTTATTTGATTCTGTAAGTTTCAAAAACCCTATAGAACCTGTACATGGGGGTACTGTTGTACACGTGAGACATCGCTGAACACAAATATGTGTATTGTATTGCCGCAAAAGCTTACAGTCAGGGCCGGCCTTAGGCAATTAGGCGCCCTGTGCAAAAAGTCTTCACGGCGCCCCCCCCCCACCTCCCACCAAGTTGCCTGAATACAGTAACACACACAGGCACCGGGGACGTGTGTATCACGAGGCAAACAAGGCATCTGCCTTGGGCGCCACTTTGCAGGGGGCGGCAAAAAAAAGCATCCCTCCAAACCCCCAGGCAGATCCCTTGCTTGCCTCGCATCCTGGGGGGCTCAAGAGCTGACCGGCTGGCCACTTTTGAGCCCCCCCAAGGCTGGCAGCGGGCAGCGAAGGAGCATACTCACCTGAGCTCTTCCTGCTCAGCTTCCTCTGCGCCGCTTAATGAAGCCGGGAGCCAGAATATGACGTCAGTCCGGCTCCCGGCATCACTAAGCGCTGCTTACTCAGCCTGTGCGCCCCCTGCCTGCCTGCCCAGCAGCCACACTGGACTGCTGGTAAGAAATCCACTCCAGCTTTCCCAGGGAGGCTGGGTGGATTTAAAATAAATGTAAAAAATATTAGTTTGTGTTAGTGGAAATGTCTGTGTGTGTGTCTGTGAGTGTTTATTTTGAAGTGAATGTGTGTGTGTGTGTGTGTGTGTGTCTGTAAGTGTGTAATTGTGTGTGTCTGTAAGTGAATGTGTGTGTGTCTGTGAGTGAATGTGTGTGTTGGTCAGTGAGTGTATATGTGTCAGTCAGTGAGTGTGTATGTGTCAGTCAGTGAGTGTGTATGTGTCGTCAGCGAGTGTGTATGTGTCGTCAGTGAGTGTGTATGTGTCGTCAGTGAGTGTGTGTCGGTCAGTGAGTGTGTAGGTCAGTGAGTGTGTAGGTCAGTGAGTGTGTGTCGGTCAGTGAGTGTGTGTCGGTCAGTGAGTGTGTGTCAGTCAGTGTGTATGTGTCGGTCAGTGGAGTCGTGCATCTTTCAGTGAGTGCTTGCGTCTGTCAGTGAGAGTGTGCATCTGTCAGTGTGTGTCCAAGTAATAGTGTATGTGTGTATGTCATTGTTTGTCAGTGTATATGAGAGTGTGTGTCTGTCAGTGAGTGTGCTTCTGTCAGTGAGTGAGCGTCTGTCAGTCAAAGTGCGGACAGGAAGGGGTGGGGGAAATTTAAACTCGGTTACAGGCATGTACACACACACTCAGTTAAAGGCAGTCACACATACAGGCACAGGCACAAACAATGGCACAGCTACAGCGACACAGACAGACAGACAGTCACATAGGCAGTCACACACACACACAGACACACAGTAACACACACATAGACAGTTATACACACACAGGCAGGCAGTCACACAGATAGAAAGTCACACACACAGGCAGGCAGTCACACACAGACAGATAGTTACAGACAGACACACACAGGCAGGCAGGCAGTCACATACAGGCAGTCACACACACAGGCAGTCACACACACAGACAGACAGTCACACACACAGACAGTCACACAGACAGACAGTCTCACACACACAGGGCAGTCACACAGACAGACAGTCACACAGACAGACAGTCACACAGACAGACAGTCACACACACAGGCAGTCACATACATGGGCAGTCACACAGACAGACAGTCACACACACAGACAGTCACACACAGGCAGGCAGTCACACACAGAGACAGTCACACACACAGTCACACACACACACAGAGACAGACAGTCACACACACACACACAGGACAGGCAGTCACACAGACAGTCACACACACACACACACAGACAGTCACACGCACACAGGCAGGCAGTCACACAGACAGTCACACACACACACAGACAGTCACACAAACAGGCAAACAGTCACACACACACACTTACCTCTTTCCAGTGGATGCAGTTGGCTGATGGGGAAGCATCTTTCCCTCTTCCTGTACAGCAGGGGCTTCGGGAGGTATTAGCCCCGTCTCCGCCTCTCGATAAGCCCCGCCTCCGCCGCTCGGTAAACCCCGCCCCCTCTGCCGCGATTTTTTTTTTTTTTTAAATAGACCCGGGTGGAGAATAATTAATCCTCCAGCCAGGTACCTCTTTTAGCTCCCCTGCACTCCGGCCATGAGTGAGCTGTGTCGGCCACAGGGCGCCCCCTGTTCCATGGCGCCCTGTGCGGTCGCACAGCTCGCACACCCCTAAGGCCGGCCCTGCTTACAGTATTATGATATTCACAGTTAAAATGCTATGCAGAACTAAGTAAATAATATTTCTTAATTTCTCACACTTGTTTAAATTTTATTCATATACAATTATGTTTCACATATAAATATTTGATGATAAAGTAAAGCCCTGTTTCCCCTGAATAAAATGATAAACAATAAGTGTGGGTGCACTTAATATGAAAGGCAAATTATGGCTGAACAGACTTGAAATCTTGATCAGAACTTGTACAACTTGTACAATTGCCTCCGTCCTTGAGAGTTTAAGCAAAATAACCTGACAGTGAAGTGGTTAACATATATTCTGACTTTCAGGTTTAACATGCTTGTTTCAAGTAACCATTACAATTATGCAAAAATGTGTTTCAGGCATTTCCCCCACAAAAAAATTCCTTCTAATCTACGCATGTTTGCACAAGACTAATATCAATTACTTGATTACTTGGCTCTCTTCTAAAACATGAATTACACTACCTTCTGAAAAAGTCTTAAATATTTGGTTTTGTTTTCACCAGCAAGAATTCATCCCAAGCTCACTTAAGCCAAACAATCTTGCATACTTTTACCTCAATGCAATAAATTAAGTCAAACATACATCCAGGGACGTTGCTGGTGGGGCTGACCCAGGGTGGGCACTGAGTGGGTCCAAAGCATTAAATCCAAAACCATAATAAGACTAAAATGTTTTGCTCTCTCCTAAAATAAGAAAGCTGCCGATTTGAAGCTGTTGTGTGCCCAGGCTATTTTGTATTTACTGAACATGATTTTGGGGAGCTTGTCATTTCCTTGCACCAACTGTGACTTCTGGCTGAGTGCGGTTCCTTTCTCCTGTGTTGGACCCCTGAGTGGAGTCATGAAAAGCTACTGGTGTGATTTAGTCACCCTTTCAATGTTAGACCATTTTGAGTTTACTGTAGAATTGAGAAATACATTACGCATCCAATTACATAATTTGTGACAATGTTATTTTAAAAAGGACACTATAGTCACCAAAACAACTTTAGCTTAATGAAGCAATTTTGATGTACAGACCATGCCTCTGAGGTTTCACTGCTCAATTCTCTTCCATTTAGAGAGTTAAATCACCTTTGTTTGTGTTTATGTAGCACTAGCCACACACCCCCTGGCTGTGACTGACACAGCGTGCATGAAAAAAATAGTTTGCAGTCTGTATTCTGTGGAGAAAAAAGTATTTTTAATAAAAATAAAATAAAAAAATACATTTAATATTATTCCCCCCTCCATGCCTTTAAACTGCCTGGTTGTCTGAAGTATTGTGCAGGCTGGAGGCAAGTTACCATGGTAACCTGTGGCAACATTCTGACATCCGGTGGCTAGTGAGAGGAGGTGCTCGAAACTGAAGATGGCATTTGTTGGGCCCACATCTTTCCTATACAGGAAGCCAGGAAGCCGGGGCCCACAGGGGCACATATTTTGTCGTCTCTGGCAGCCGATTACAAGGTCAGACAGAGACTTTGCCTCCCCGAGCAGTCCCGTGACAACCGTCATGATGGTCATGCCCTGATGGCGGCCCTGTTTAGCTGCACACCCCACTATTGGCTAGGTAGCGTGGCAGGATCCTATTGCATACCTGACTGTGCATCATATGCTTGTTTCCAGCTATGTTTTAATTGAAATTCCAGAGAGCATTAACAGCACGCTGTTCATGGGTAGAGAGGAGGGGACAAAACATGTTGTGGGGTTGACATAGTCCAATGTTTCTTTGTTAACTTAATGGTCATCAGGTTTTCCTGTTGGGCTCAAGCCCTATGTGTTTCTGAAACCTAGCAACACCCCTGCCCTTCATCACAAGAAAGGTATGTTTATAATTTGTATAATGTTAAATGTGTTCAGCTGATGTGCTCTGCCAATGAAAGCTGGCCACATTTGGACAGAATTGATATTGATAATGTGGAATTGTATGCTTTACATTAGTAAAATGGCAAGTGCAAGGCCAGGGTTTGTTAATCAGTAAGTAGTTTGATACAGATCCATAGGTTGGCGCCAAATACATGCTGGTACCATAACCACTAAAGAGGGCTGTAGAAGTTATGGTGCTTAGAGTGCCCTTTTAAAAAGGTTGTGTAAAAATGAGAAGGAGAGCAACATGGGGCTGAGAATATGATATAAAGGTGTTGAGAAAAACAGGAAAAACAGAAGGGGCAGAAGACCATAGGGATAAGAAGACAACAGAAAGGTGAGGAAAATTATCCCCAACTTGTAGTGGTCACAATGTCCCTTTCCTATACACCATACAGTATATACATCTTATAGTATATTCATTCTTATTTTTGTCCCAAAACTTAACAATCCAAATTCCTGGCTCAAAACACTGGAAACAAAGAGTCACTGAAACATGAGAGTCCATGATCACTCTCTGCACCTGACCACATATCTGATCTCAGTTTTAAAGGAATAAGTAAATATCTGTAGTGGGACAAGGACCATATTTGGAGGTCATTATGTAGCTCAAGCACACTTCTGGCTGTAAAGTAGGAATAAGGAGGCAATAGTCAGAATTCTTAGCTTGCAAAGTACATTCATTTTCTGTGTTTATGGTGGAGTAGTATTATGTATAATTGATAACAGCGCCACCTACAGGAATAAGTCAGCATATTCTGCTAAACGATATGCAATTAACAGGTTTTTTGTTTATTGGCCTTCTTTGGTATTTGTCACTGACCGAAGTGCAACTGATACCACACTAAGTCACAATAAGCAAGGGGTTCACACCTTGATTAACCTTTATTATTATGAAGACAGAAACAGATTGAACATTCTGGAATTTAGTGTAGAAGAGGGTCAAAGCAATTTTTGGCTCTGCTATTGAGCCTTTAGCAAACCTATAAAACTCAAATGCAGAACATAAGGGTTGCTTTAACATTGAGACCAATAAAGTCTGCTCCAAACACAACTTTGAGTGCACAGGAGTTTTCTTCTACACATTGTGTTGGAGTTACGGTCCCCTGCTGGGTTGCAAGTTAGCTGAAACATCAAAAACCATGTGCAATCTTTCTTGGATGTATTTACTCTGGCATTTAGATAGTTGACAGACAGGTTGACTACCCCAGATTTAGATAATCACAGAAAGGATACACAAGTCAGTACAAAAGAAATCATCTAACATATAAATCAACCCCCAAACTCCCCCTTCCCCTCCTTAAAGTAACAATCCAAGCACCATAACCACTATAGTGGGCTGTTATGGCCATGGTGCCAGATGCTTCACTTAGAATAACTATTCATAGCAAAAAAAAAAGGGTGACCACTCCACAAGAAACTGATACATATGAGGTGAAAATAGATTGCTTCAAGGCCAATGTTTTGGGACTGCTTCCACTAGGTTATCTGGAGGAAAGCACTAAAGAGGTTTGATTGGTGCTGTACATTTACTACCAATTTCTGTTTTATTGCCAAATTTAACACTTCTACATAACAGTAAACAAAATTGAGGTTTTGGGGAAATAACACAATTTGAGAGCAGTTGGGCCTGCTTGAAACAGTTAAAGAAGACCATGGTCAAATCAAAGTAATAAAGAATGCGTCTTCAAAGAACACAAAAATGTATCCTCCATGTGTATTTGTGTTTCAAAGTTAATTTGAGAGTTTTTCTCAGTGTCATTTTCTGTCAGTATCTTAGTGTCAGTGTGAGGTTTTTCTCAGAGTGTCATTTTCTGTCAGTATCTTAGTGTCAGTGTGAGTTTGTCTCCGAAATGTCATTTTCTGTCAGTATCTTAGTGTCAATGTGAGTTTTTCTCAGTGTCATTTTTTTGTCGGTATCTTAGTGTCAGTGTGAGTTTTTCTCAGAGTGCCATTTTCTGTCTGTATCTTAGTGTCAGTGTGAGTTTGTCTCAGAGTGTCATTTTCTGTCTGTATCTTAGTGTCAGTGTGAGTTTGTCTCCGAAATGTCATTTTCTGTCGGTATCTTAGTGTCAGTGTGAGTTTTTCTCAGAGTGTCATTTTCAGTCTGTATCTTAGCGTCCATGTGAGTTTGTGTCAGAGTTTCAGTTTGAGTCTGTTTCTGAGTGTCAGGGTGAGTCAGTGTATGAGTATCATGGGTGTCTGAGAACATGTGATATGGATGGCCTTTTTAAAACATGTATGTAAAAGGACATCACCAAACATTTTGTTTTGTTGGGGGGGAGGAGGGAGGGAGAATAATATCAATTATAAGAAAATGAAAGCTGAGCATGTTTGAATTTGAGTTTCTGTCAATATTTTACACATAGGAGTCAGTTTGTTTTACTTATTTTTAATTCTTATGAAGAAGTTAGAAAAGATCAAAATCTTGAAATTCTGATACAATAGTTTTGCGTTATTTCTGTAAGCAGGCAGGATGACCAAATTGTTAAGTAGGTGTATGATAACCACTTTGGGCAAACCATGATCACAAATGGCCCAATATGTGCATACTTTCAGTAAATAAGAATTTGTCAATGTCGTAAAGCATAAGAAGGATTGTACCAAGCTACGATTACAGAGATGGTATTAATGCCATTGCATTATTTGTTTGGGCAGTTCGAGAAATCTGTAAGTATTCCAACAACTTCTATTTTCAAAGTCATATTTTTTCTCTAAATGTTTGTCCAGTTATAAAGGGTAATACGGACAATTCTCAGATCACCATTTAGACAATGAATCGCTTAGACCAGTGGCTCCCAAACTTTTTAGCTTCAAGGCGCCCTTAATATTTTAGTATTTTTCCAAGGCACCCCAAGTCAAAATTTCTAGGTTGCGTATCTATACAGCGCTGCAGCATTTACTATAGTGTAATGTACAGTGTTGGTGTTTTAAGGGGTGCTTGTATATAGTTATTGTGTTTTAAAACAGGGGTGTGTTTGTATGTAATGTTTGCGTTTGAATGCAGGGGTGTGTCTGAATGGATGTACATTTGTGTGAAGTATTTGTGTTTGAGTGAAGGCGTGTGTTTGTATATATACTTTTTAAATTGAATGCAGGGGTGTGTGTATGTAATATTTGAGTTAGATTGCAGGAGTGTGCTTGTATGTTGTGCTGGTGTTTGACTGCTTGGATGTATGCACAAACACTACCACATTACATACATACACACATACTTACACTGATATTCATGCACATTAACACAAAGATGCATATAAATACACAGACACATAAACACAAATTCATATAGACACATACACACAAAAAGATACACACCGACATATACACACATGCACCCTGACACACAAACATTGATACATGCGCACACCATGACACAGATACACACACTGACATAAAAACATACAACCTGACACACAGACGCACATACACAGAAACCTTTCACAGGAATGATTTTTGCTGGAGGGTGTGATTACAGTAGTAGACAAAGAAAATCAAGTTCTGGTTTATAAGATTGATTTTGGGCAATGTTAATTATAATAACGGTAAATTTGTCCAAAGATGCTGGATCTCGATGAGGCTCATAAAGCATTAAGTACTGTGCTAGTATCCTG